CACGGATTCGAAGAGGTCCTGCACATTGTTTCGGCCTGTTGTGATGTCGACGTGGGAGCAGAGCATAGTCTCGAGAAAGCAGAGACAGGGAGTTGTTCCCTTGACAGTGCGAGCCCCAGCCTTGGCTCGAAACTGCTCTGCGAGGCTGGCTGCCAATGACTATGTGCAGTACTTGCGCGCCTACTCAGCGCGCTTCGGACTGGACATCCGTTGCGGCGTTGAGGCGCCGTTCGGGGAGGGGCAAAAGAGTGAAACCCACGGCCCAACGCAAAAAAGTGCAATGTCCCCGGAGGTCAGAAGGGTTCAAATTGGTCGCTTGCGCAGCATAACCAAAGCCAAGATTGAACAGGTCACCGACATCGAGGACCAGTCAGGCAAGTTTTGGGGGAATGCCAGGAAAACTGAGGCTTGGGTAAACGCTTGTGACGCTTGTGTTGGCCAGCAATTTCGCTGCCCGTGTTGGTTTGCAGTCTCATGTGGTCACGGTCTCGCCGTTTTGGACAGTGTTTGTTTGCTAGATTGGTTTGTCTTCGCGCCAAGCTCCTTTCCCCCTGCTTCTTTTCGTGCTGCCTTCTAAAGTCTGTTCGGATCTGGTTGGGCTGCTTTCGTCACATTGTTTGAATGCTGTCGAGTCGTGTGCTATGCTAGGTTTTCATGTTCGGTTGTGTTGGGTTTTTTTGAGCAAGGTTCCAGTCTTGTGAAATGGTATATGAGGTTCTTTTCCCAGTTGGAACTTTTGGCCTTCGGGCTCAAGTGCGATTTGTGCCATGAAGGTCTGGCTTGTGTTTCATGCTCGGGACACTTCAGGACACCAAATCGGATAAAGGGCCACGCCATGGGACAGCACTGTGATGTCGTTCCTTGTCGGGAGGCCGGTGGTGCATCTTTACCGCCGAAGCCGACGGAGCTCAGGGGAGCCTTCGTCAAAAGTGTCCGAAAGTGAGAACAGTTCAACTGGTCTTTACGGTGGCAGATATTGGCTGATTCTGCGTCCTTGTGTTTGGATCGGGGGAGTACAGTAGTTCTCACATGCTGCAGTCCTCAAGAACTTAGTTTCGTTGAACATCCGGAGTCGGCTCCCCGCCTATTGGCTTTCTCAGATGCGGTCTTCTCGGCTTCCCAGCTTTCGGGAATCTGTGCGTGCGCATCGACTGAAAGATGTTGGGCGTTAGGCGTGTTCGGCTCCTGGTCGTGTTTGTAATCTTGGCTCTCTTTGCCTTTGCTCTCTTTGTCAACAGGACATGGTTGCTCTGGTGCTTCGTTCAAAGTGGCACCGTGCCTAAAGTCATTGTGCCAATGATATTTAATTAGATGTGTGTCTGAAACACACCACAATGCATGCTAGTCGTGCCGTCTCTGGCCACTAGAATTGCTCCTGTGGTTGGTTCGGTTTGGTTCGTGTTGCTGGCAAGGTAGCCCGCAGCATACATATTGTAGATACAAATCGGGTGTCGCGGCTTGCGTGATGCCTTGGCCACAATGGGCATCTTCTACAAGGTTATGGTATGGTTGGAACCCAGCAAATGTGTGCTTTAGGTAACGGTGCTGGTGCTGTGCATCTTCCAGCACTGCATCCGGTGCATAGGGTTGGGGATCTGGCGAGGGAGGAACAGAACAGTTGTCCCAAGATCGCAATGCTGTCACTGAGGAAATGGTTTGCCACTGAGCTGGTCATTGCAACCGGCAAGTGTCTCGTCAAGTCACCACCAATTCCCAAGCTCCATGTGCTCCTCGAAGCCACATCCCGCTTGACACCAGGAACAACGCCACTCTTGCCTTGTCTAGCTGAGGAGCGTCGCACCCTCTGTGCCGGCGATTTGGTCAAGCGTGTCTGGGTCGCAGTGTATCTATAAGGACTGTATAAGCAGGCCTTCATTTGGAACTGCATCCGCAATGTCTCTAACAAGCAGCGCCCGAAAATCTGGTGAAGAAAACTCCACCGCAGGTGAGCGCGGTCCTGAGCCACACACCCAATGCCGTCCCTCGAGGAAAACGACTCCCCTCCAAGATCCAACCCAAGCCCCAATCCTGCGCACGCCAAACTGTGTCCATGGAAAGCTCTGCTCAGGAACCGGTTCTGCATCATCCCGCCATCGTCCACTCTTCCCAGGCGTGTCAGGGGATCTTAGGACGGCTCCAAACAAGCATACTAGCAGTACTAGCACGCGGTTGAGTGATACATGGTAAACAAGCATGCCCGAAAAGAACACAGCAGTTGAGACGTTGAGCCGCAAAGCCCTATGCAGAGGTCGAAGCCGTGTCACCTGTACCCGATGGACGCAGGTGAGGGGCCCCGAATTGCAGAAAGCAGTCGCGGCTGCAGGGCAAGGCGAACTTCTCGCGACCCGCACGCAGTGTCAGCTCCATCTTATAAGGTTCCAATCGGCCAAGGCCTCGGCGTATCGCCTTGGAGCCTCGAATTGCCGGGTAGGCTCTTTTCAGGCAACACGGTTCAGAGGCCTGTTTTGAGAAAGTCGGCGAAGCACTCGAAGCGAAGCACGTGCCGTGGATTTTTGTCTCGTACGAAACGGTCAGACTCGGAGGGCGTCTGTTTCTCAGCCCGTACAAAACGGTCCCTAAGGTGGTTGGTTTCGGAAATTCCGCAGCCGACCTCTGCAGCAAGATCCTTGCGCAAGTGCCAGGCGAGCAGTTTCCGAGAGTCGGGTTCTATTTTGGGGCTTCCTTGTTATGATTATAGGGGTTATCTACACCAAAACTCAATTCTAACTTTTCAAGGCCTACCTTGGGGCCTTTAGGGTTTTTTCCCATCAGTTTTGGGCTTTGGGATTTCCTTTGCCACCCAGCTCCACAGCCTTCCTGCGGCCCTTCGCCAGGTGGCACAGTGCACGTGTCCTTGCGGCGGGTGCCTCCCATCATGCGCCGGCAGTGGGGCCCGCTCCGCCTCGAGTGGTCTCTTTGCCCGATATCGAAGTAAAAGAGGGGGGCCTTAATAAGGAAACACCGCAATATAGTATGGGCCTAATTATTTTAGGCCCCTACATTAGAGGGGGCACTCTAGTTTCGGGGTTTCACTTTCTCGGTCCTGGCCTTGCTTTCCTCAGCGCTGACGATGAATCGGGCGCTCTCTTTTCTTGGCCTCTGCAGGTTTGCTCGTCTTTTCTCTTACGCCTGCGATAAGAATGGGGATCGCCTCGCGCAGCTGATGATGCATCTGATCGAGACTTCGGCAGATGTTGAGTCACAGTTCACCTTTTTTTCTTCAGCTTTGTTCGTTTCCTGCAGCTGCCCTGCCTTTGCAAGGAGGGGGACATCCAACACCTGTTCCCTGCAGACCTTCCCAGATGGAAGGCACGCCAGGAGAGGCACATACCGACCATCGATCGGGACGGTTCTTTAGTCCGACAGCTTCGCGACGGCAGCATTCTGGTGCATCGGGGCATCGAAGACCTGGAAGCAGACCAGAAAAAGCTCGGGATCCGATTTCGGGGCGAGGATCAACGACGAGACTTCTCTACCGTGGTTCTCTGCACTGGCTATCGGACAAGCCTGGAGTGCCAGAAAGGCTTGTCGCGAGACGCCGTGCGTGCGCGGGCCTTCTTCGTGGGCCTCGGCCCAGAGCAGCGAGATCTGCTCCCACTGCAGGGAATCGGGCGAGAGGCTCGGAAAGTCGCGGCGCAGGTCTCCGACTTGCTGAAATTGAGGGCGCGCCAAAGTGAAAGGGGCTGGGGCACAGACGCGTCGGAGTCCTCGCCGGAACGAACGAAGGACAAGGACCTGTGAGCATCTTCCAGAAGTGATGTGTCATTTCAAGAGACGGCAAAAGGTCGTCGTAGAGTCTTAGACAGCAGGATATCTTTTACAGAGAGCTTCGAGACATGAGCCCAGCTACTGCAGCTGAGCAGGCGCAGTTGTCGGCTCATGAAGTCTTTAAGCTGGTCCCAGTTTCTACGCCGGCGAAGGGCGGAGAGAGTTCTATGGGGGTTTCCGAAAATAGGGGACCCTAATCTAGCACCCTAAATAGTAGGATCCTTATTATAAGGACCCCAAAATAAGGTACCCCTTATTTTCGGAAACTCCCCTATAGGATTCTAGGGCCTCTAGGTCGCCAGGCGCGAAACTGCTCCGAACTCGGAGGATCAGCACAGTTTTCGCAAACCCCCCCCCCACATAACCCCCTCCCAAAAGATCCCCTATATGAGATCCCCCTAGTTAAAAAAAGGCCCCTGATTGGGCTCTACCCCCCCTACACCCTGCCAACACCCTCCATCCCCTGCTCCCTTGTCGAGCCGAGGCCCGAGCCGAAGCAGCTTCCGGTGCCTTTCTTCCTTTCCTTCTTTACTCTAAAAAGAACCCTATATAGAGAAACCGAAAAAGAGAACCCTAAGAGCGCTAAGAGCCCTGGTTAATTTCGGTCTCTTAGTTTTGGCTTCTCGGAGACTACTCTTTGAGTCGTTCTAGAGGATGCTCTCTCGCTTATAGAAGACATAGAAGTTCCCGTGAGGAGGCACGGCAGTCTTCCTTGCAGCTCCCATTCAAAGTATCCTCACAGCACCAGAAACACCACTAAGACGAAAAGCTCTTCGAAGCTTCGCCCCGTGGCCTCAGCACAAGTGGCCCCAAACCGCAAGCGGCTCTGCTCCCATTTTCGAGGCCCATTCGAGGCCCCCCCGCGAATTGGCCTCCGGTGTTCGCCTCCTTAGGGACGGGGGCGAAAGCGCTTTCGCCCCGAAAAAGAAAGCGGCGTTCGCGCGGTTTCGACCGCCCTGCGAGGACTCCCAGGCCCTAAGTGTCCAACCCCTCGGCATTTTTAAATCGTTGTGCTTGATTTCTTGTGGCTCCGGAGCTTGCGGGGGTCAGCTGCGCAGATTGGGATCCGAGACGAATGGCCCAGGGTCGAGGGTTTGGTCCGGGGCGTAGCTGGTACTGGTGCTAAGCTCAGCGAGTAGCGTGGACATAGCCGGTCCACTGATGCCAGTAAAGCACCATATGTAAGTCACCTCGTGGCTTTCTGCCACGACAAGGGTGGCAGCTGCAGCTCCATGTTCACCATGGGCAGCCCCTTTCCTTTTCTGCAACCGGTGACGGCTCCAAGTTTGCCGGCTCCACCCTTCACAGCACTGGAGGCAGGGCTCCCCCCCATGCACCGCTCCAGTAACTCATGCAGAAAACTCAGTAAAGAATCGAGGTGCATTGGTTTCCACTGAGCTGCTTCATTCCCCACTCATGAAGCTCAGATGCGTCGGCTTGAGGAAGAAGATGTGGAGGAAGAGCTGGAAGACCTGCCTGCAGCGGAGAAGGAGCTGGATCCTCTGCGTAATGCGAGGATCCGGCGTGAGGTAAACGGCAGAGCCTTCACGGGATGCGTAGAGGACATTGAGCAAGGTAAGGTCACTCATGAAAGATGCTTGATTGCGCTCAAGTTGCACTCCCCAGACAGCTCGTATGCTTCTAGTCAGGATGCTCGAATGCTTCTAGCTCAGAAGCCATTTGTGCCCGTGCCCCTAAGGACTGTATCGAATAAAATATGAGGATGGCGACCTGGATCTCTGACATGCAATTAGCACAGCATGCCAGAGTAAAGGCAATTGTGTAGGACTCCCACGTGCGCCTGCCGAGGAGCACCTGACAGCGGAGCAGGTGAGAGAAATGACGCTCGAAGATGACGAAGAGGATGAGATGCGATCCGGGAGCAGCCGATTCGGGGTCGATGATGACTACAGTGACTACGGCAACTGTGGCTCTCTTTCAGATCCTGACCGAAGGCAGTTAGGGCTTCATTATGGCTACAAAGACTACGACTCCGAAAGTTTCTACGGCGGGCCGGAGCTCTCTGACGAGGAGCAAGCGCTGGGACTTCGCCAGTTACTACTAATGTGTATGCCAATGTCAAGGCGTATACATACGCTATGTGTGTGCGCATGTACTTTTGTGTGTTTCTGCTGTGTGTGTGTGTGTGTGTGTCTGTGAGTGTGTGTGTGTGTGTGTGTGTGTGTCTGTGTGTGTGTGTGTGTGCGTGCATACGCGCGCTGTGTGTGTGTATACTTGTATATACATATATACACATAGAGATCTACACGCACGCACATACACATACATAATACATATATATATATATATACACAGATATATATATATATAGATATATATATATATATATATGTAACATGTACATATACATGCACATGTACACGTACATCTACACAGGTATGTATGTATGCATACATGTATATGTATGTAGACATGCATGCATGCATACATTCATGTGTGAGCAAGTATGTAAAGATAGGGATGTATGTGAATGCACATCTACTTTCTGAAGCTGCACGGATCAGGAGTTGAGCAAGATGGCCGTTAGTCATGCAAGAGCTCTTCGACCCAAAAATCCGACCGTTGCAGAGATGCTTGACGAGCTCGCGTTTGCTCGCTGGATCTTCCTACGCAGCAGCCGTCTGCCTCTGGAGGCGCAGCACTTCATCCGCTCCTTCCTCCCAAGCCCAACCGCAGAGCTCGCTGGCCGACAGATCCTTGGCCTCCACGACGGGCACGACTTTGTCTTCCGCTCCATGGCGTCTTTGCCAGCCGGCAAGCTGATGTGCCAAGTGGGTGGCGACCAAGTGTGGTCTTTGGCAGACCATTGCAGGAGCCTCAACTGCCCCGTCTCTGAAGAAGCGCCGGTGGCCCTTGCCACCCGCGGTTGGTATGATGACTTCTGCCGGTGCGAGCCTCTTCGTCCTCTACCGGCGGAGTTCGCCGTGCTGGTTCCAGGCGATGCGTCGCCTGCAGGCTCCTTCTTCGACCTGATGGGGTCAGCCGAGGGCTGGTTCGACGACGTAGTCTACGAGGAAGAGAGCGATCACGAAGACTGGCCGGCTCCCAGACAAGGTCAGATTCCTCGAGACCCTGAGCGCCACGTTCGAGAGGGAGGAGCGAAACGGGCTTGCCCTGCGAGGCTGCCGCTGGATGTGGACCTGCAAGACGAGTTAGAGCGTCATTGTGACCACGAAGTAGAGCACGACATCGATGACGAGCCTTGGAGCCAAAGGATCCGCCACCTTCTTCGCCAGGGCGCAAACCCGATGCTTGACATTACAGAAGTCGGGTCACAAAAGACGCTATCTCCACTCGAGAAGGCCCTGCATGCTTTTTCTCAAGCTGATTGTCCTCAGTGCACTAAAGCCTCGGATCTACAGAGCTAATACCCCAACCCTGGAGCCACAGCCCTTTCATCGAGAAGGTCGGTAAATCCAAAGCATCACTGCAAACTCACCTGGACGACCTTCGCAGCGGCCGACTCTGCCGGCACCAGGTGCACTTCTGGTTGAGGCCCCGGCCAGCCGTTGCAGTCCTGAACCCTCGCTTCTTCTAGGGCTGCAACATCGTGGCTGAAGAGCCTTAACGCCGATCCTCGCATTCCCAGCCTAAGTCTAAGTCTCTACGCCAAGTTGACGTTGTTAAAAACCGCGCAGGTATGCCGACAGCATCGAAGGCGTCGAGGAGTACTTGGAGGACTTCATGGCCCAACTGGCGTACCTTGATGAAGTCCGCGGACTTCTCTCGGCTGCTGTCAAGGTCTGGGAAGGAGCTGCAACCGCGCCCTCCATGTTTTGTTCCAGTGACTGCTTGTATGGCCGCGGCTGGGTTCACAGCGATCATGGTTTTCCGGATTCAAGGTTCGTTTGCCACCATCGCTTTGTTTTCAGGGAGCACACATGGCTGTTCCAAAGACTGCCCAGGTGGGGTCCTGCGTCCCAACAATGCTTGCTTACTTCAAGCTGTGGATGCCGCTCCAGACGCGGTTCTTTCATCAGATGAAGACTTGCTAGCTTTCGCGGAGAGGATGTGGAGCTTGCAGCAGAGCTGGAAGGTACGGGTCAGAACTGCGTAAGACAAGGGTGAAATGAAAGCTACAGGACTGTGCTCACGAAGCTGTTGTGTAGTTTTCTTCCGGGTGCTCCAACGCAGGCAGCACCTGGGCAACTTTGCTGCCGCGAAGCAGAGGAGGAAGCCATGCTGCACGAGAATCACCGAGCCCAACAGCAGCGAGCCTCAGAACAAAAGCAGCGCGCCGAGGAGCAGCGCCAGCAGAGGCGCGCGGAACTTGCCGCGCTTGCCGACGCACAGCTGCGTCTGAGATGCCAGTCATCCCAGAATGAATGCGGAACAGGTGCAAGATGCAACCAGTGCGGGGTACGAGGCGATCACTTATTCAGCAGAAATCAGCTACTGAACAAAGGCTGGCGCAAACGCTGCAGGGAGTGCATAGATGCTGAACAGCTGGGTGTGGCTGTGCCCCACAAGAAGAAGCATCGCTTCGACGAGAACATTTGAAGATGATGTCGGGAGCTGCCACGCTCCACCGAATTCTTTTAGTATCACAGGTAGAGTGATTCAATTTCCGACTCTGAGGGTTTAGGGGAGCCCAATGCAGGGGAGCTGCAAAAATACTGCCCTGGCTTTGTAATCTGTCACGGAGCGTGTTGTGCCGGTCCCACCACCTCTCAACACGAACGGATCCTTGAACCCAAGTCCACCGTAGCAGTTCCCAGGCAGGAACTGAGGTAGGGGAACTTGCCGTGCCATTTGCGTCTTTGAGTCGCCATTGGCTGCAGCTCGAAGAAAAAACCCACTTGGCGAGAGCCGCGGTGACGCAGAGACCCCTGAGCTATACTCGCAACTTTAGCTCTCCGCGCCACAGCCGAAGGTCAGAAAAGTTCAGAGGCAGAAACGGAACCCAGCACCCCTAAGTTCCCCCCCAACCGACAAAAAACAGCGGCAGAAGCCAGAGATTGCATGGCGCAAAGCCTGGGCCGGCTTCAGGCACAGGCCCGGGGGGGGACAGGGGGTGTGTTTGGATGTACGTACCTCGGAATTCGAGTCGGAGATTCTGAAGGTCTGAAGGATTCGCTGTAAGTTATGAAGTCTTTTTTTTGAGGTTCCGTGTAGGTCAGGCATAGCACTTTGCTCAGTCCGACGAGCAGACACTTGGAGTCGCTAGGGGCATTTGGAGCTGGCGGCGGCCTGGACTCTTTTGGAGATGGGATCGGGCTGGGATGAGCACTGGACCGTGGGATCGGATCTCGGGCAAGTCGTAGAGCTTGTCGTGTTGGCCGGGCGCCGATTTGATCGTCATGAGGCACCGCCGACCACTATCGGACTTCCTGAGTGGGGCCATGGAAACGCGCAGCGACGACTTCCTAGGCGCGCTGTCACGCTTTTCGGGGGGGATGCTCCAACATTCTTATCCGTTTTTTCCAGAAGCCTCCGAACTCGAAAGGTGAGGCACAAACGAAACGAAATATGACCCAACCGACTCGAAAATGCGAGAAGCGAAGCGAAGAAGCGACGTGACTGTCACAGGTGGTCTGGCCCAGGCGTGCAGAGACCTCCTCCACCTCCGCTCGAAGGCTGGAGAATCAGAAGACTTCTGAGGCTTAAGTTAAAGGGACACAATAGATATGTTACATCCCTTTAGAAGAACAGAACTGGAGAAAATCCCAAGTCGATAGAAAAAGGTCTAGGGTTGAGTGTTTAGGCCAGAGGGCCCCTGGAAATGGCTCTGTCTGTAAACGGCTGTACTCTGCCCCATCGAGGTGTCTCGTGTGGAGGCCTTCACCCAGGCCCCGCGGGTCTCTGTGCTTCGTTGCAGCGAGACTAGCTTTGAGACAAGGTGCGATCCTAGCACGGCAGTTATGGCAGGTGTTCCGTTTTGACCGAGACGTCGGGCAGGAGAGTTTCTAGCATGCAATGCCGTAACTAGCAAATTGAGCATGGCAGCAGGCTAGGACACCGTACCAGGTTTTTTGCACAGCATCAGTTTCGGACATAGTCGGAGGTTCTACTCGTACATTGCACGAAGGATTTTTCTGACGTCATTCATGCGGAGTCGGACGATAATCCAGTTTCGCTAGACGTCCCTAGTCCATGGAGGCGGAGAGCACCCGGTACAGCAACAGAGGTCGTGGAGCTAATTCTAGGTCACCTCCAAGAGCGATGCTGCAATCACCGACTCACTCGACGATCCCCGCAACTCTTAAGGCCTGTGCTGCTACACTGGAGATTCCTGCAAACGTATCAACAATGATTGACTTCGTGACCCCCAGCACGAACGGGCGACATGTGAAGACTGCCACTTCTGAACCTGACAGGCCCTTAATGGGATGCGTTTGTCCCACAGGTGGAACGAGCAGAGCTGGTGGCCGCCTGCTCGCAGCAGCTGGATCGGCTGACACGGTCTCGCGAGGCCGACAAGCTAGTTGGGAGCTGTTGACACCGAACTACAGATCTTGTCCCTCTCCGAACATTGGTGGGCGGTACTGAGTTCTACGGCCCTCCTGAAGCAACGATCCTGCTGCAGGGCAAGACTGCGGCGCGTTTGCATCGCGTCCGGGAGGTAGCTGAGGTGCCTTTGCAGTCAGTTACTTGATGTTTGCTCACTGTTTTGTTAGTACAAATGCATGCATTACTGCATTAGCCATGTTGTCCTCAAGGCGACATCCTCAGCCGTGAAAACCCAGAGCCTGAGCCCGAAATCCTGAATTTGCTTTGCGGGGGTCGCGGCTCAAGCCCCGAACACGGAGAACGAATGTTTCAGTGGCCGCCAGGCACGCGAACGCCTGCGGACGGCTGCCTGTGAGGCGGGCTGTCGCGCGAAGCTGCAGGACGGCCTCGAATTTGGAGCCCATTGCGGGCGGATCGCCAAGATACTGTTTGGGAGTGGCTCTGGGATTGCAGAGGTACTTGCATGTGGTTTGCGGTGGGGTTGAGCTCGGGGGATGTAGGATTCTTATGTGAGCCGTCACGAAGCACATGCTCAAGGGTGCTGGCAGGGTGCTGGGTTGTTCTAATACCTCAAATCTCATTGGGGGGCTGTGGGTTTCCATAGGGTGCCCCCGAGTCGAGGCCAAAAGAAGAGGAGCCAGTACAAGAGCAGTGACATGCTGTATGTATACAATATATACATCTGTATGCTGTAAGAGTGAGAATGATGAGGTGATGCCTGATTTCGAAGTATCCCCACAGCGCCAGTCGGGCCTTCAGATGCTGGACCACTGCAGGACCAGGCAGGCGCCTTCGCAGTGGCATGGAAGGCCCCCTGAGCTTTGCCTTGGGATTCGTGGCGATTTTGGGGTGCAAGGGTGGAATTTGAATGATCGAAACTCGAAGCCGTTACACCGTTGCACAGAGTTGCGGTTCTGGAGTCGCAGGCGAAACAAGACTCGCAGCTCCGAGCCTTGCAGGCTCGCAGTTTCTTGCGAGCCTTCCGAGATTCTGGGGTCGATGCCTCCAGCACTGTCGGGGCTGTGGGTTGGTGAGGGTCTTCCATTTTTCCCGTAGGTCTGCTTGGCAGCAGCCCCTGATCCCCAAACTCCTGCCCCACATAGCCCCGAACCTCTCCAAATCCTCTCTGACTTGGTGCTGAGGAGAGGGCGCGACGATCCTGCCTGACCCTGGAGGCCAAAGGCCTGGACCAGGCGTCGATGCAGGGCTTCGGAGTTCAAGAAGTCGACAAAGATGTTCTTGTTTCTGCCGTTTGTGCCATGCGCTCGCCCATGCTTTGGCATCTCTGCCAATGTGCTTACGAGCGATGAAAAGGCGTGCCAGGGAACTCGAGTTCCATGCTGCCTTGGAACTGTTCCTGAGATATTTGGATGGTTCTCCACTGTTCTCTAAGTTAGGGTCCCTGTTTAGGTCCCCAAAATAGTACGGCACCCTTGTAAACAGGACGCAAAAATTGTCCCTAATTAATTTGGAACCTACGTCCACCTCCATCCCCAAGAGCTTCGATCTGAAGGCAGACGACTCCCCCACGCCCCCCCACCTCTTCCGCCCCCACCCCGCCTTCCTCAGAAACCCTAAACCCTGAACCCTGAACCCTATAAACCCTCAACCCCTAAACCCTGAACCCTAAAGAAAAAAGCCCAAGCTCGGAAGCAAAGCCCGAGAAGGCGCGGCAGAGGCTCAGCGAAGCCATGGCAGAGGCCCAGCGCCAGGCGCAGAGCCTCAAGTGACTCCCCCCGGCTTTCTTAGGGAGGGCTACGGTAAGGCTCTTTCAATTCAAGGGTCCTCTGTAAGGGTAACTATGAGGGTTACTGTGAGGTTGCTAGGGGGTTGTTTGAAGAGTACTACAAGGGATACTATGAGGGTTAGGAGGACAAGGATGATCCAGACTCAAAAGGGGCAAAGTAGGGTTGATTTCTAAGTGCAAAGTATCAAGGACAGTGACTGGGAGTTCAGAAGCTTTCCCTTGACTACTTCCAGAGATCGCTGCAAGGGGCTTTCCTAACCCTCGGGCCTCGGCTAATTCCAACCGACTGCAATAAGCCCCGTGATGTTTGAAACCCTGGCCCTACGAGAATCCAGAATGAACCAGATAATCCTATCAGAAGGCCTTAATCATTCCAACAAGGTCTTGGGGCAATTCATACTGCAGTCATCTTATACGATAAGTCATACAGTTATACAGCTATCTTTATGTGATAACGATATCAGACGATGCTAGACATATACTCTATGAGCGACTATGGCTATCAGTGCTGTAAACATATATACATACATATATATATATATATATATATACACATACCTTTCTTCTACTATACTGAAGATGGGGACCTTGAATTTGATCGGAATGGCGATTGCTGCTCTAAGCGTCCTACTCCAGAACCCTTACTCAACATCCTTCTTGAAGGAAAGCAGCATCAGAACTAAACCTTTTTCTCAAACCGCGCACAGTGTCAGCATCATTGGAGTCTCAGTGCGTGCATCACGTTTAGATTGTACTGTTGTTGCCTTCAAGCCAGTGGTGATGTGTGCGCAGGAGCAAGCCGATGCTTCTGGGACATGGCAGGCCGGAGAAGCATCCATTTCCGACAGCGGAAACTCAAACACACTACCAGTAGCGGCACGACATCCCTGGACTCCTAAGCCTTGTTGCCCCGCGGCCCTTACCAGACCCTGCAGTCACGGCTACCCAAGTTTCTCGTGCCGTGCGTTCAGCGCAAAGCTTTGGGTTCGGGATTCGATCGCGGACCGCCGCAGGGGGCGAGGATGCCCAGCGCAGTTCTGGAGGTTCGGGCCTTGACTCGGCCTGGAGCATTGGGCTTTGGAGCGCCCGCTGCCGGTGCTTGAGTTGAACAGGAGGACTCCAGAGACACTACCCTGGGGTTTCAGTTGTACTTGCCCGTGATTGCGTCTTTCCTGAAGCGACTGCGGTGCGACCAAGGAGACCTCGCGGACGAAGGCACAGGACGACCTCCGCGGCGCCGTGGAAGAGGCCGAGGTCCTGTGCAAACTGGAGGCCGGTTCTGGGCAGATCGGAGGACTTCGGCATGTTTATGGCCATGTGTTGGGTCTGGGGCGAGGGGACTTTTGGGGGGGAAGATGGGGGATGTTTTTCCGCAGGCCGAAGCCAGACACTGCAATTTCCCGCGAGGCAGCCGCAGCGGATCGCGCGGAAGACGGGGCGAGCGAGGCCGAGGAGGCCAACGATTCCTTGCGGGGTGCGTCCGGGTGCGTGGGTGTGCCGTGATGTTATATGTCGTAAGTAAGGGAGTCGAAGCCAGCCGCCCGTGAACCTGATAGGCCGAGAGCCCTTGCCCTGCGCATCTCCGAAGTGAGCTGAAAGCTGAAGCAGTGCCTGGAGCACCTTGGAAGGTCTTCACCACCATACTTCAACGCGCTTTGAAGGAGACTGGGTTAACCGGTTTCGGGGGTCGCTTTGCTGCGGTACAGGATGCTCCAGCTTTATACATGGTTCGGCGAATCAAGCTGCGATGCATTCCCCAGGAGCAGCGGACCAAGGACCGGGCCGCCTGCGCTTGTTCAGGTTTACCGTCTCTTGCAGACGAGCAGGGAATTAACCAGGATCTAGGCCGGTGGCGACACCTTAGCAACGAATCCCAGATCAAAAGCCTTGCAGGATCTGGACGAGTTGGAGACACCCTCGCAGGCAGGACTTTGCAGGAAAGTGCACGACAGACAGGAGAAGTCTCGGAACGTGAGGAAGCGGCGAGAGTGCATTGAGGGCTTTGAGGGCATCCGGGTTGCCCATGGTTGCCCGGTGCCTTTTTGGTTCTGAGTTCAGAGTGTGTTCAGCTTGCAGGGCGCTCTTTGTTCACCTGGCGGCATGTGGGCTTCGCAGCCGGCTCAGACATTTGCTCCCAAACTTGGGATGGAGGATTCTTGAGAAAGGAGTAGCTTCCTTCGTCCCCGCTTGCTGGCACATGAGCAGCCGCCCTGCAGCTCTCGGCCCTCGCCCCGAAGAGGAAAAGCCAAGAAAAGACGAAGCCAAGCCTGCAAGCCTGGGGTCCTCGAGGCTGGGACGAGACGGCAGCCCGGGCCTTTCAGAGCGTCGCTTTGCGCGAGGGAGGGTGTGTGCTGGAAGTTGTTCCGGAATTGGATCCAAAAAGTCACCAAGAACCGAGAAGGAGAACAGCAAGTGTAAAGAAATAGATGCAATCGGTACAACATCATCATCATCATCGTCACTATGGTAGTCAGGACCGTCTTCCCAACCTAGGTCGCTTGGAGAATTGCTCCGAGGGCTAGAACGCAGCCGATCTCCGCTTTGCCAAGATGAGCATTTGGGGCAGCTGGCTGCGGGTCTCCGGGTTGAAACAGTAAAGGCAGCAATTTGACATGTTCACGGTCTGAGAGCTTCGTTGTTTCTACGGCCGTTCCGGTGAATTCTTGCCTTGACCATCTCCAGAGATCATAGCTCAGCTTGGCAGAGAGGCATGGCTATCTCGGCAAAGGCCGAGAGCCAGACATTTCCAGACGCTGAAATCGATGGTCGGCCGTGTGCTAAAGCAGAGGCCTTCCCTTGCGGACGATTCCACGCGCCAGGCATGCTTGCATGTGCCTGAAGAAGGGCAGCCCCGTCGCGAAGGAAAGACCCTGCAGTGTGCTGATGCTGCTTCCGTTCGTCTTGCGTTCCAGCATGAGAGCAAGTTGACCCAGGTTTCCTGGTTAAGGCTTGAACCGTTGCGCCAACAATGGCAACACCTACGTAGTATAGCCAAGTGCGAAGCCAAGCGGAGTAGGTCTTATATGTCACAGGTCTAACAGCGCTTACCTGCAGTCACTGTCGTTGCCTTGCCGATGCTGCCCAAGGGAGGACTTGTAGGCATGGCCTGGGAACAAATGGCAGGTAGACAGCAACGCAACTCTTTTCTGTGCGTCAATGCTTTGGAGCTGGCCATCGATGCCCTTTCGGCCACTGTAGACGTTATAACACATGATCATGCTTCTGCTATTGTTCATCATGTCGACCGCTGGAAGATGACCCGGTCGAATATCTGGGACATACGGGACATGCGATGCGGTCGCTTCCTCGGTGCTCCGTTTTGCATTGCAGGACCCTTGCACCGAGAATTGGGAACTTACGACTTCCACCTAGGTCCGGTGATGACGGCGTGGGTTTCCCAGAGCTCTGTCGGCAGAACTCTTCTAACCGTCGCAACGTGCGCAGCGTCGGTGTCTCGCTTCCTCCCTCATCCCAGAAGACATTTTCAATTTTCTGTGCGGTCTCCGCCTTTTTGCAGCTGCAGTTAGCCCACGTTCGCACATGGCCCAGGGTTGGCCGTAAACTGTGCCGAGGTCGCCAAGGAAGTCCATCGTGCCGCCACCAATAGGCCCGGAATTTCGCGGTCAGGGTTCGGAGTTCGGAACATGTCGACAAGGAGGGGAGCCGGTGACGCTTGGCAAGCAGAAGGCCCAAGTTTTCCCGGACTCTGCCCTGACTGCCAGGCTCGCCGCGCCTTGCCCGAGGCAGCATCGCAACGAAGGACGCTGGAGGCAAACCTCGCATGACGGCCCATGCCTGCACGGAACACGAACTGCTGAAGAGCCGTGCATCACGAAAGACTGTGAGTTGTAGAGTCGCAGGTAGCCATTTTGGCTCTCGCAAGCCCCGAAGATCCCGATGGCTCGCCTCCGGGTGTTTGCTGCTCTGGGAGTCCTGGTGGCCGCTGAGCCGGCAGCTTCGCCCCAGGGCAACTGGGTGAAAAAACCCTGTCCTACGGCCCGGCTGGGGGGCGATCTTCCAATCCCCCTTCATCATTGATGAGGGGGATAGGCAGATCGCCCCCCAGCCGGAAACGACCAGGAGGGACCTGGCGGGGGAGTTTTGGCCCTTGGTTACCAAGGCCGGCCCGCCTTCGGGTGAGCAAGGAGCAGGCCAAGGGCATCGTCGTGCCCAAGCTTGTGGCGCAGTGTGGACTGCCGTGCTTGCCGCAGGCAATGCCGACAGTCATTGCCAAGGTGGTATTCCAGCACTACTCCGGGATGCTGCAAACGACGAGATTCTGAGAGTTCTTCTGGCAAAGCGACCTCTACTGGGTGGATCCGGTCACCTGTACCTCCATGCGCTGAGCTACGGCCGAGAGCAGCGGGCAGAGTCATGATGAATGGCTGGAACTTGGACTACGCGGCCGCGCCGCTCGGCGCTGGCGCCGACAAGGACGCAACGGACAAACACGGTCGGACGCCGCAGGCTTTGGCCGCGCCATGCGCGTGGAGCTGCTGAAGGCGGTGCCAAGAAGGACTTGCAGAACAGTAGCGGCAGAACAGCGGCTCCACAGGGCCCTGACGCGGGATTCTCGAACGATGGCATGTCGCTGAGAAGCTGCAACGAAGTGTGCCTTCAGGCCTTGTCGAATAGAAGCCGCACAGAACTTTTTGTAGAATCCTCTCAAGTTCACAATCCCAAGGCCTGAAGACCAAACCCTAAACTGAGTCGCTGGTGATTCGAGCCAAATTTGGCTTGCACGCGATGGTCACCTGAAAGTTGGTGCAAACATGCTAGGGACACTGTTTGTCCACTTGACCGTGCACCTGTAAACTAGCCTTTGTGGTCGGAGTTGAGGTTATTGTGGGTAATCAAGGCCGCAAGACACTGGCTACAGCCTCAGCCAAGCTTGGCGTTCGATCTACCTATCCAGGCCGGTGGAAAAGAGGTAGTAAAGAAACCAAAAGAGGCTGTCGTAGGCCAGTCCCCGAACTGCAAAATAGCTGGGGCCGAGCAGTTCTCATCCCGTTCGTGCAGAATCTTGTGCCCTAGGCCAGGCACAGTTGTTGAACGCCCGTTGTTGCAATGCCGCTCGGCTGCTGAAAGGTGCTCGACTCTCCGCTATCGGCCGAATGGCCCTGCGAGACAAGCCGCTGGGGCCCTGCTGCTTTGACATGTCGGAAGTTCGTCGTCGGCAGAGTTCTGGCACCCACCACATTCGGAGTTTAAGTAAAACATGCATTGTTGGGGGCCATGCTTGGAACTGGACTCGCACGCAGCTGCGAGGGCACGCCAGCCTGGGTGGAAACGGGAGCATTACCCAAACGACGTGAGCTTTGATCCCCAGGGTTGTAGAATGTGCCACCGCATCATGTGTATGCAGAGCTTGTTCTGAATTTATGCCAGCTGCGCTCGAATGCCTCAGCCCGAACCAGGAGCACCAATGCATGTTCATAGAACATAGAACCATAACGCCAATTCCCGAGCACAAAGCACATGTAGCCCAAGGAGCCAACAGCAGCACTCAGCTGCCCTCTACGGCCGCACCGGGCTTGTTTTACTGCCGCGAAGTCGTCCCTCAGTAAATCCCAAACATAGGCTCCCTGTAAGATCCCGGTGTTTGGGACACTACAAGTTGGGCTTTTTGCTGCAGTTTCTTGTTCTGTGTGATTGCAATTGGTCTGCATCGGAGGCGGTCGGTGAAGTTGCTTCGGAGATCGGGCTTTGGGCGACTTTTCACAGGGAGAAGTAGAACGGTTGAAAGCCTTCATCATCTGCACAGTCGAGGCGGTTTCGATCGTCACCATCTTCTGTCCGGCCATCAAAAAATCCAGTTTGCCATTTCGCGCCAGGTGGTGGGCGGCTTTGGCCACGGTACGCAGAACAGGTCCCGGGACGTGTCGTTACACAGGTGAACAGTCATCGTGTCATTTTGCGTCTCGAGCTCCAAAGCGTCCGAGCGTCCGAGCCCGACCTCACAAGAAAGTGTTCAGGTGTGCGAGCGGCCGCCTCTGGCTCCTCGCAAGGACTGGGGTGCAGCCCAGAGGTGCAAGATGGGAGTTAGGGAGTTTCCAGCAAGTTCGGTTCCGGGCAAGCGGGCCAGAGCCTCGCAGCCTTGCAACTCTCGAGGAGGGCTCGCGCACCCTGGAAACCTCTCCTTGCAGCCGACCGCAGAGTGCCCGAGGCGGGGGGCCTTGCAAATCCACAAGATCCTCAATCCACTCCCACAGAGAGGCATCCCGGGCGCCACGACACGCTCGACGTCGGCACCCAGGCCTCCACGGCTTTAGAAGCACACTTCTCTTCTCGCGGGCTCCTTTTTCTCCGCAGGTGCCCGGCGGGGCAGCGCGGCGCCTCGCTGCCCAGAGAAGGGCCGGCAACTCACCCAGGCGGGCCGCGACGAAGGGGGTATCGGGCTCCAGGCCGCGGGGCTCCGGGGCTCCCTGCCATGAGCCCAGCCACTCCCAAGCCGCAAATTTCCCCGATGCAGTTACTCGTGCCAGCCTTAGATCCGTGAAGAATTCTTCGGGATTTCCAATCACTAGAGTCTGGAGTTGCTCTCCATGCAAGAAAACATTCCCAAACACCTGAACATGTTGTTTGTGGTGGCCTTGCGTACCAAACCTGTGATTCTCCAGGGCTGTCAGAAGGAAGCTGATCATTCTCGAAGACCAAACCCTTTTCAACGACAAGGGGATTGAGAAGCCTGATGCCGCCAACGTCCCTGGTTCGCCCCTTTCCAGGCCCCAGCGACCGTGGTCCGCCACAGAGAGCAGGTGGAAAGGGCAGAAGAGGGCCAGCTGTGTAGGCCCTTGGGCCCCGCACAGACTCGACGTGGCCTTGGACCAGCAATGTTCAGCAACAATTGATTCGCTGAGCCATTTTGCCGTAATCTACCGTACAAGTCCTAGGGTTGCCTGCAAGTGCAAGTCCCTAGCAGCCGCAGATGCCAAACAGCACAGCATTCCGCCGTTGTGTCGAATGTTTCCCAAACCGAACTCCAGTTAAAACCCAAAACTTGCTGTCTCAACGAAAAAAGAATTGCTCCAAACGTGCGGGCCCCTGAGAAACGAACAGCCCTGCCAGCTTCATCCCTCGACTGCTCGGCCTACGACGTGCGTGCCGGTGCCGTGGCCGCAACATCTCCCGCGCTGTCTTCCGAGAGCGTGAGTCAAGCCCACACTCCAGGAGATTCCATGAACAGCTCCCCTATATAGCATATACTGACCAGCATGGAAGGCCGTGTCGGCAAAAGGTCCGGCGCAAGAACGCGTGTGCCCGTGCTGTGACCACGTCCAGCCATCATTCATCGCAAGGTATCCCGCCGATGCAAAGCAGCGTTCTCAGCGGAGGGCTTCTGGACCCAAGGTCACTGGAACAAGCTTTGCCGGATCCGCCTTCGACCCTGCCTCTGTCCTCCCTTCCTCCCATGTCCTCCCTTTTCTGGCCATGATGGCCTCGTTCGTTTGCCATTTGTGCCTCGTGGGAAAGTCTCAGAGCGCAAAAGGCACCAGGTGGCAGTCTGTGTGCGTGTGGTTTC